ACGAGTTCTATATAAAACCATTTCATGCTTAAATGGTCCTTTGCATGGTGAAATGGTTCTTCAGATTGATGGAGAATATGTTGTATATGGTAATATGTAGAATTTGTTGAATACGGTTCTATATAGCATCCAAAATGGTTTTTCTTTAGCTATGATGTCAAGCTTGTAACAATAGAAGAGGTTTTCAGCAGCAGTACCAATCCACATCCCCATTTCAGCCAGGGGATGGGACATTTCGCAGATAGTAAAGCTTTCATGATTGCATGTTTAGTGAGAGGACAGCTGTAGCTCACTAATCTGGTAAAAATGCTTTAACGAGATACTGATACATAAATAAGGCACTTGGTTACAGTATACACCGATCAGGCATAACATTATGACCACCTCCTTGTCTCTACACTCATTGTCCATTTGATCAGCTCCACTTACTATATAGGTGCACTTTGTAGTTCTACAATTACAGACTGTAGTCCATCTGTTTCTCTGCATACTTTATTAACCCCCTTTTACCCTGTTCTTCAGTGGTCATGACCCCCATAGACCGTCATAGAGCAGGTACTATTTGGGTGGTGGATCATTCTCAGCACTGCAGTAACACCGATGCGGTGGTGGTGTGTTAGTGTGTGTTGAACTGCTCTGTGAGGGTCCATGGGGTCCTGGCCCCTGAAGAACAGGGTAAAAGGGGGCTAACAAAGTATGCAGAGAAACAGATGGACTACAGTCTGTAGTTGTAGAACTACAAAGTGCACCTATATAGTAAGTGGAGCTGATAAAATGGAAAATGAGCGTAGAAACATGTTATGCCTGATCGGTGTATGTTACCATACTATAAGATTTTACCAACTGTCAGTTTAAATATTTCTTACTGCTACCTTGCTAAACTAAGATTTGATGTTCTTCAGAGATGTTAGCTTGCAAGGTCTGCTATATGAAACTAAAAAGAGATGGAAGGTATCTTGCTGAACGTAGTGCAGCACAGGGTCAGAACAGACACTGACACTGCTCATGAACAGGTTCATAGGGACATCTTACTAGCATGATATATCCCCCGCATCATGTTATATATATATAAAATATTATATATATATATATGTATATATATATATATATATATATATAATGTTTTATTTTTATTATTTTTTTAACTATAGGTTTAGCCCCAGTACCTTTGGAGGCGCAGCACCACCCCAGACCTTAGTTATCATACTACAAAGGAATTCACACTTTAACCACATTTAAGAGTTGAACCAAAAAGCCTGACAACCAAGCATTCTCTGTCCTACATAACGAGAAAAAAGCCACAGCCAAAAGAAAGAACTCTCTGTGTGAGTGAGCATAAAGCAGGTTAAAATGCACCTAATCATGTGTGGATGAATTGAGCACGCTAATTTTGCATTAAGCAGAACAGATTAGCAGTATGGAAGCTAAAGGAAGAGAAGATGAGGACCAGAAGAAAATACAACCAATACACGATTCCGACAGACCGCAGTAAATTCAATTTTATGCTCATGGGGAGGGAGGCAGGTACGATTATGGATTCAATTTTGCTTTTATCAACACACTCACATAATTACCAAAAATACAAAGCAAAACAATAACTAGAAAGGCTACTTGTGTTGTATCAGAATGTATGCAGCTTATCTGACTGCAAAAAATCTATCTTAACCAACCCAAAACTCAGAAGTTGCGGCAGAGCAAATATACAGTTTCAATCAGTTCCAACTCATAACAGATGCTGTGGGTGCTATCCTACAAAATGAGAAAATTAATCCATTCAACAGTAGCGTATATGCGGTTCACCACTGCCAAGAAAGCAGACAAGTGTAAGAGTCTACTGCCAGAGAAAACATAATACGGTAGCAAAGAAAGAGAGGTGAGAACACTCTAAATCCTACACTACATGTCAAAGTTTGTAGAAACCTACTAATCCATTGATGATTTTTTTTAAGAAATCAAGGGTATTAATAGGGAGTTTGTCCCGTTTACTACAGTAACAGCCTCTACTCTTCTGGGAAGGCTTTACACTAAATGTTTGAACATTGCTGTGAGAATTTGATTGCATTCAGCCACAAGACCACTAGTGAGGTCAGGTACTGATGCTGGATGATTTGTTCTGAATCACAAACACTGCTCCTGATTTAGCTCGTCCCAACGGTACTGGATGGAGCTTCATCACTCCACAGAACACAATTCCACTGCTACCATGGCCCAGCGCTGGGTAGCTTTATACCCCCTAATCGACGCTCGTCATTGGGCATGGTGATCTCAGGCTCTTGTGTGGCTACTCCAGACTGTCCTATTCTATAAGCAATGCTTTTCTATGAAGATTATACAGGCCGTGTGTGCATAATTGAACAGCTGTGTCAGAAATAAGTGCACCTTATGGGTCCTATAGCGCAGAACTCCAGTTGTGGCACCCCCTGCTCTGCATAACACTTGATTCACACCTAATTTAGCTCAAGAGTTTGATAATTAGCTAAGTCAGGTATGTTACAGCAGTGGACGTGCCGTAACTGGAGTTGGGATCTGCTGCTGTTAATTATATAGAATTTGTGGTAATAGATTACTGAAGGTCAGTATTTTTAAGGCTACATGACCTTCATAAGCCTTTCATAACATACATAATTTGTTATTTACTTCTTTTGATAATTTTTATTTCAACAAGCATCAAGCTGCTTTTGTCCATGCACATGTCATTTCACTGGCAGCAAGTGTTATGACAACTGACACTTGTTGGTGTAAGCCTTTAAAAAGGTCCATATAGATTTATATAATTTGTCCTGAAAGGCTTATATAGGTGTTAAATAGCTTTATGAATGATCCTCTGCTGGTCCATCCGAATTTGTATGTCTAGAGCATGTTTCCCAAGCCCTGATGAATGAATCCTGACAAAATATGCTGGCAGGCTGAGTCATATTTTTTTCCATTACACAAATGTCATTTGTACTGAGACGTTTTAGGTTCACAAGTCACTGTCAGGCTTGATGAGTCAGCTTATTCCCTTGTTTTCCCAACTGTGCAAGTCAATGGCTTTCATACTTATGCCCAACCATAAATCCTAAAGGGAAGAGATTTACTAAAGTACTCCGCTGATATGCACTCACTCAGATGTGATCACACAAACATGAGAGCAGCAGAACTACGGGAGGCGTTCGTTTGATAGGACCAGTAAGACAATGGGCCTCATTCACCAACATGTTCCTAAGGTTTTTCTTAAATTTTTTCTTGAGAAAAGTCCTGAGAAAAAAGTAATTCATGACGTGTTTTCTTAAACCGCAGAAACGTTCACACCTTTGTGCTCTTGAGTGTATGTAGATTCTGTTCTTACCCAAGAACAAATGGTAAATAAGAAAACATTGGTGAATGTCAGGATCTTCGTAAAAACTGTGTAAAAGGGTTTTAGGAAGAATTTTCTTTTTACGAACGGTTGGTGAGTGAGGTCTAATGAGTATCCGATAAGGCAGGCCACAAATACCAGAATTGACCTTTGAATTGCCTTTTGCACTTAACATCCAGCACAAAGCTGATAACCTTACTGTTGTGTCATCATTCTGTAATCAACCATATAAACCTGTGAGTTATTCACTGGACAAACGAACCAGTCGCAAACGTTCCTGGGGTGAGGCTCACCAAGGTGATCTTTGAGGAACAGATGGAAGTTCACACTCAATGCCACCACTCTTCGTCACTAACTAGGTAATGTCTTGAGTAGGCTTCCTAATGCATCCCTCCATAACACAGATTTAATGTGCACCATGCTTTTTTTTTTTTGTGAGCCATTATGTGCAACTGAATTCAGAAGTCAGCTAGACCCCATTACAAGGATATCAAATACAATTATACAGTTTTAACAGCAAAGATGTAATCAGAGTGGGTTTAAGAGGGTGGAGGAAAATGCACATTTAAATAAACTCTGAAATAGTAAGGTGCAAGGGGGAGGTTGATATAAATAACATGATATGGGGGATTACCTCTTCTAGTCTGGTGCTGCATACAGATTTACACAAGGTACCACCAGTGCCAAAGATGCATTAGAGTACACAGCGACACTGGAATTGGGGATAATTGAGGTCAGTGTTCTCATTTAACCTTGTACACAAAAATCACATCATTACACCTGCTAAATCTAAACAGAAACCCTACACACCCACATACTGTACCGCTCTGCAACTGTAAGACTTTGGCTGCTCTCTCAACACCACCGCAATGCAAACAGGACTGATAACTCTACAAGCAATGGGAAAGGTGTTGCATGAGAGAGGAAGGTGTGATCGAGAAACGAAAGAAATAAGAAGTTTTCCGAGTGGTACAGTCTCAAAAAAAGATGGTTCTTCAAGTGTTCTTCAGGGGAGAATGGTTCTATTTAGAACCATGAGTTCTATACAGAACAATTTCGTTCTTTACATGCTGAAATATTTCCTCAGACTGATGGACTGCGTGTTGTATATGGTTCTACATAGCACCAAAAACGTTTTTTCTATATTTATGATGTCAAGTTCGTATACAATAGCAGAATCCTTTTTGGTGTTGCTATATAACCATATACAACACACTCTCCGTCAACCATTTCTTCATGCAAAGAACCGTTTAAGCGTGAAATGATTCTATTTAGAACCACTGCCTTTACTAAAGAACCCTTGAAGAACCATCTTAAGAGTGTAGACTAGGCGTAGTCTATACTGGTTTGGTCATTATAAATGAGGTTTCTGGCGGTTTGCCCTCTCGGAACCTCCTTCCTAAAACAACAAACTCCCAAAAGACAGAAAGGCTGATTTACACTGGTGATACCTCGCCCTAAACTCCTCATCTCGACTCTAAACCAAGCGCCTCCTTCACCCTCGACTTGACTTTACACTGTTCCAGACTCGCAAACATCTGATTCCGCGACCCGGTTATGTATGCAGGTTTGCATTTAACGTTCAGTCGCAGAAGACGACCTTGCTCCTGAAACCGCCCGAACAGACCCCATTTATTCGTCAGCCGGGCTGCGTGGTCCTCACCTGGAGCGCCGCAGTCCGCGCAGACCCCGTTTCCTGCTCTGTCGAGAAGCTCCAACATTCGGCGTCGGATGGTCTCTTGCTCAGAGGCCATGTCGAGAACTGAAGGAGGCCGTTTGTGCAGGTGAACAGCCGAACTGCAGCAGTTCTCTCTGCCGTTCTTCGCCGCTGTCTCTCTCTCTCGAGCGCACACGCGCGCGGGCAACGAGCAGCGAGCTCGGGACGTGCACGCGCGTCAGGCGACTGAAGACTGCCGGCACATTCCACACCAGTACGTGTCAAACAGCCTACAGGGGTCGGTTAGCCTTCAGTAAAGAACGCTTAAAGGACAGGGACAGTATTTGTGCTCTTGGACGCCGAAGCGGCGAATGAATTCCGGCTCGTTCCCTCAGCCGGTTTCTCTAAGGGTTCGCCTCCTTTTTACCGCCCTCTCTCTCTGAAACAGAGACCTCCAGCGGTCATGCGCTTACAGCATGCCTCCCTTAATCTCACGCAGGTCATAACAGACTGGTGCTGGAAGACACTGCAAATGCACTTCAACATGTTCACTAAAGCAGGGAATTGAATGTATAGTTAGTGTTGCGATTATGAAACTTCATGGCTTACAAAGTGGAAGTGGTCACTGTATTACCACCAAACCTGTAGCCTGCAGGATTCTGATCTGACAGTTACTTAGCATGGCCATTTTTGTCCACATACCACAGAAATTCAATGCAGTATTAAAAAGGATGTAACCCAACTTGAGCAAAAAACAAAGGATTTCAGTTTGTAAAGAAACTGGCATTTTAATTATTGATCCAAAATACAGACGAGTCAAGTTTTCAGTTTGGTAACTACGTAAAAACAAAGGTAAAAAATATGCAAGCAAATGTGTGTAATAGCCTAGTTTTGTCAAAATTTCATACAGCAGCGGTCGCCAACCCTCCTCCTGGAGATCTACTTTTCTGCAAAGTTTAGTTCTAACCGGTACCCCGATACCCAACACTAATGCATCTGATCCAGCCAATCAAGGACATCTGAAGAAGTTAATCAGCTGGAGCAGGTGTGGCAGATTGGAGATGGAAACAGACTCCGCAAGAAGGCAGCTCTCCGGGAATGGGTTAGTGACCACTGCCTTACAGTATGCACAACACACAGAGAAGAAAAATCTACACACGCTTTCTCTAGAGTGGACACAAAATGTGATGGCATGGTGCATTTAGGTACAAACAAAATCCTGAGAAAGGAAAAAAATGCTGCTTTAATGAATATGAATCAAAACCAGAATTTAATAGTTTCTGTCCATTCAGACTACAGCCTGAAGTGTCCACCAGGTCTCCATCAAGAACAGAAGATGCGACACTGCACTAAAAGCTTTGTAGAGCTCAGGGACAGCCTCCTTATCGTGAGGAGTTGGAGCTGGAGCGTGAGCGATGGCGTCTGCGGCCCGCAGACCTGGAACGAGAGCGCCTCCGCACTGGGGAGCGGCGCCGCGGTGACCGAGACCTGTAAGGGCACAACATGCTTCATCAGCTGAGAAAATGCATATACATATACAAAGTGCATTCATAGAAATATGACCTTATTCCGATGGAATTGTTTCAGCAGAGGACCCATTTAAAAAAAAAAATTAAAAAAATGCAATTTGCACTTGCAAATTCCAAATCACTTAACTGGTAGACTCAGCTTCGCAGCACAGGAATATAGTATTTATCCATGAGAAAAAAATGCATTTTACTCTGTTGCTTCACTACAGGTGTAAAACTGCTCATACCACCAATGAACAGTTTCTTTAAAATATACCACATAGTAAAATAAAATATGCACTGGCTTTGGTGGGTGAAAAAGTGATGCGTTTCTCAAAACCCCATAGTTCACTCAAATCGATTTGTAAACATAAATAAGGAAATAAGTCCATACCACTGCCTGAAAAGATGAAAGGCAGCTGGCTATACTATACAATAATTCATATTCAAGCGAACTGAGCTCTTTAAATGAGAAATGATCTTATAATTTAGCTTGGTACATTATGTTGAATTTACTTAAAGAACTTAATTCCGCCACCTAGCCTTGGGCTGAGAATCGATACTGAATATCACAATAATTTAAGTGCCACTACTATGCAAATCTTAGTTCTTTTTTGTTCTTTGTTATTATTTTATATTGCTTCACCTTTACTTGCCATTTTTCTTCATATAATCATTTTAATCTATAATAAATTAAAAACACAAAACAAAAAAGATGGGGACACACACAAATGAAAAAAAAAACTCTGGCACATGAGCTCTACTCTCCAATAGACAGTAAAAAAAAATAAATAAACAAATTAAAAAAAATAAAAAGGGGGACAAGCTTGTTCAGAAGAAGGGTGTCAGTTTGTTGATTTTGCCAGTATGTTAATTTAATGGATCCTTTCCTCTGTTACAGACCAGATCTATCATTTTATAAATCTTTAAGTAATATTTTAAGAACATATTCCTGTCTCTGCCAGCATACATATCTCAGCTTGAGGTGGCAAGCTCTGCCTAGCGACCTGAATCACCATTCAGAAAACCTTAACTGTGAGACCTAGCCAGTAAATAATACCATTCAAGCTGCATGAGCCCAAGGAGACAATACTGACCTTCTCCTCATGCGAGGTGGAGTACGACGCCACATTGGGGGAGGAGGGGGCATCCTGCGTGGAGGAGACAGTCTGCGGGGGGCAGGCCGTACCCTTGGAGTCAGGACAGCTGTTGCTGTGATTTCCTGACCGTCTATCTGACCTGATGTTTGTAAAAAGAAACAAAACACAAAAGGGTTCAGTTTTTGTACTGCTCTTCACCCCAGCATGTGAGTCAGTCATTAAGTTCTATCTTGCCACTGCAATTATTTTCATAATAAAAAGCCCTCTCAGTGATACAAAAGAAATATATAAATGCACTTTTTACTGAAAAGATAAAAAAAATTCCTGTGTTAGTATCTAGCGTGACCATTTGCCTGTAGCAGCGCAACATATTTTTTCAGATTTTATATCAAACTGCAACAGAATGAGAGCAAAAAAAAAAAGTTCATATTTTTGTTCAGTTTACACTGGATGCAATAATTGCACAGCTGAGCCACACTTTAAGGAATATAGACTCACAAGTAAACAAAAAGGGGGGGAGAAAAAAAAACCCTGATGTGCAGCATCAACTGAATAACACAATTACTATATTCCTACTCTTTTACATCAGCTGACTTAGTATTAATTTCCAAGCAGGAAGCAATACAGAAATGCAAGAACCTACCTCCATCCATGTGTTTTAGGGCCTTCTGCGCCTCCTCTGGAGTCTCATACTCAACGTAGGCATAGCCCCTCGATAAGTTTGGATGAAAACGGTCTGACGGCATGTCAATCATTTTGATCTTGCCATACGTAGAGAATATCTCTTGAATGTGATCCTAAAATTAATACAAGTCAATAAAAACAGATGCTTTGTAAATTAAATTATTTCATTCTGTGTGGTCAGTTTAACATATCAAATTCCTTTAGAGTGCATCTTACCTTAGTGACATTCCTAGTCAGTCTTCCTACATGAAGTTTGGTAGGTTTAGGGCTAGGGCTCCTCCTCTTCCGTTCTTTGTCGTCACCCCTTTTCTGCGATTTGGACCTGCACGGTAGTTAAATTACATGTTCAGATTTGACCTTGCCAATCTCTAGGTGTCTGGGATGAAACATTTAAAGAAACTCAAATGCCAGCACAGTTAGCAAGAAATGAAAGGTAATGGTAAACTAATCAGCATGTCTGCACTGATGACTTTGGGTTTTCCTTTATTATTTCTAATATTAACTCAGCATTCCATTAAAGCTCCAGGTATTAACTGCTGCAAAATTGTCACTGATGTCCCGAGCTAAGCTGGGTTTAACAGAAGAGGGCATTTTAAACATAGATACATCAACAAATGCAGCCTTACGATTCTTCAAAGGCCTCTTCTGCAATAAAACTTAAACTGATCTGCTTTTGACAGTTTAAAGGTACTGAAAGCTGAGTAAGTTTTGATCAAAAATGATCAAAAACCACCCTTCTTTCCCATTAAGACGGAATGGAGGTACACAAGGCATGGGTTTCAAAACTTTTAAATACAAAAACCTTAAATACAACTGGCAAAGTGTTAGCTGTATAAAATTTGGACTTCTAGTAGGTATTTATAATATGAAACTGATTTAGGTAAAACAGGACATTACTGGCAAAAAATGTCACTATTTTTAACAAGACATTTCTCTTACTCCCGTGGGGCCAGAAGTGATCTCATTAGAGCTCCAGACATTAACTGCTGGAAAGAGAATGTCAGGGGACAACCACGAGAAATTCTGGGCTTAACGTAGGTGGGAATGTAGGTAGGAAACAAACTGAGCTGAAATTTCTAAACCAATCCAACGCGTTGCGAATGCAAAGCTCCAAGTAAGGGGTAACTGTGCGCACGTTAAGCAGCGTGGAATTCAAAGGGCACAGACTACTGAAATCTAGGGGTGGGTTTTAGAGAGAGCCTTCTCTGCAATCCAGCACTAAGTGTTTTACAAGTTGTCTCCAGACATGCATTCTCATTATGAGATCACATGTGGCGCCGCAAGACTACATTTCTCTTTGTTTTCTGAGCATGCTGTGGGATACGAGACATATTAAACATGCTGCTACAGGTAAAACTCAACTTTTTTTTTTTTTACTAATGCCAGACCACCACATATGCGAGTCATCCATGCCCAGTTTATCTACGGTCTAGTCTACTGAGTTTGCTTTGTACTAAACACAGTCATCAAAACAAGCATCTAGGATGACTGACATGATGGCTGAACAATAACTTCTCAATTACTGTGGGAATACTGACTGTTGCATTATTGATACTATAGAGAGCTGCAATATATAAATTAATCTTCTAACAAATCATATGATCCAACAAAATAATGCAGCCTGAACTTTAACTGTCATTATTGTATCTTGCCCATATAGAGCAATATGGTATGACGTTTACATACAGCCCTAACTGAAACCAACAGCACAGCATGACCATGGAAAAACAAGTATTCAGTTACAAAATACAGGACTTCTCCTTTAAATTTGGGTTACAATTCACTCTAATTCATTACACTAACACTATCAAGGATGAACGCAGCCTACTTTGAACGTGAGCGTCTGCGATTGTCGTGCCGCCGGCGGCTGGGGCTGGGGCTGGGTGACCCTGAGGAGCCAGAGGAGCTGGAGGAGCGAGAAGAGCTGGAGGACCCAGACCGGCTAGAGCCTGAAGAGGAGCTGGAGCCGCTGGAGGAACCCGAGCTGGAACCAGAGCTGCTGCTTGAGCTGGAACTGGATCTTGATCTAAGAGCAAATGAAGGCACAGGGTAAGCTATGAGCATATAATGAGAGGGTGTCACAGAGGAAAAATGGTTGATAAGTAAGAAAAGTAATTTTACGGGAAAAACACTAGATAACACATACATACATAGTAGGCTGCATCAATCTCACCTGCTGCTGCTGCTCCCAGTAGAGTTACTGCGGCGTTTACGATTCTTGTCCCTTCCCCTCTCCTTCTCAGTACCTTCCTTTGCCCCAGCCTTTTCTTTGCCCCTCTCTCTAGCTTTATCTTCCGAACGCTCCCTGCGTTTAGTAGGTGACGGGGCCCTGCACGTATGGAAGAGGAATGAAAAAAATGTTTAAATAATCACAAAAACAACCAAAAATCATTTGTCACATATCATTCATGTTTTCAAGGAACTCAACGCTTACTTTAATTATTCTAATTCAAATTGTCACTTTAGTTTACTTCCAAAGCTCCGCTATTTAACCTAAGTAGTGCGGCTATAGCTAATGTGTTCAACTTGCGTCCTCTGCAGAAACTACTATTTTATACACTGGTAGACATTTGATTAAAAAAAAAATCTCAGAATAAGAGAGATGTTTAGGTTTGACCCATGTTTAAAACCAACATTTGATAATGTATTTATTGTATTCTAAAGGAGAAAACACATTTTGGTGATGCTTTTGGATGAACCTGGTCAATTACTTTCTTATGGAAATTTCATGAACAAGTGGTCTTTTTCTGTAAAATAAAGAACATTGTGCTGTAACACTATACCTCAAGGTCTAATAATGTTTAATGAAATCTCATTTGCAATTTTATTGCATTTCCAAATTTAAACATTTGCTTTAAATTAATGGTTGGGTCTTTAGGAGTAAGAACTGCTCCAATTAATGAATTAGAGAAGTGTTCTTTAACAAAAGAAAAATTCTGCCTAGAGTGACATCACTTTGGAATTCTCATTTTAGTCTTTTGAAATAAAACTTGGTCCCTTCCTTACAAGTGTGGCTTTTATAATAAAGTTTGAGAAGTACATTTAAAAAATCTTGCATAATATAAACCTGTGTAATTATAATCTTTCTAAATTTACAGATATGGACCAGAATTGTTTATTTTGCACAAAAAATGGTTTCAATTCCAGTATGTTTTGTAATTTTTACTTTGAATCTGGTGATACTCTTTGGGAAATATTTTTGACTGGTCAAAATATGGTAAATGCAAGCCATGCCTCAGGGATTTCTTAGTTGAATTTAATATTTATTGAGTCTCTTAAATGGCTTAGCAATAAAAAAGCTACATCTAATATTAGTTATTAATATTAATATGAGGGACTAAGCTTGCTAGAAGACTGACTGTGTTGTCATTGTCTGATTTTGTTGACTACTAATGTTTATAATTAATATTTAATACAGATGGCCTTGATCATAATGTTATATGTATATATACTAATAAGAAAATAACTTATTGGTGATGCTGGGCTAATGCACTAAAATGACCGCATTTTACTGAAATTGTAACCTTATAGAAAATAATGTTATATTTCTCTGTAATGATAACCCAGGTCTAACGTTAGTCCCAACTATGTTAAAACAAAATATATATTGTTATTTAAAAAAAATGTCACAATTCAACGCAATACGTTTTTCATGTATTGCATGTTTCATTATAGAGTGCAAAATTATTCCCGTTTAACCTAATTTAGTGCAACATACTAAGCCCAATATTAAACCATAAAGAAATACGTTAAAGAACAATGTATTCCTAGTTTTCGATAGTATAAATAACGTTACTGCTGTTTCTTTTTTTTCTAGGTTCCAGCTGATCAGACATCTGAGAAATAAATATCGTGACATGTCGTGTAACTTATCGTTAAAATTTCTTTAAGTATCGTTACATTATACTTTTGCCACAGCGCCCACCTTTATTATAAATGTTGGTGTGGATATCTGCAGATACTTTAACTGTGAACCTGAAAAGCACAATTACCAAATCGGCAAAATCCTACCATTTCAGTCATATATTCTAAAGAGAAAGAAATCAAACGATAAAGCAGGTTAAGCTAACGAATAACATTAAGCTAGTAGGCCTCCATACGTCGGCATTTACCCTACTGGCCGTTACAGCAGCTTAGCTAGCTAGCGTTAGCTATCTCAAAATTACTTTTCGGTTTTCTCAAGCTCCACTATCGTAGTAAATGATTCTGATATATACATATAACAGCGCATGACACTACTAATACAATATAGTGACAAATGTTAAACCAGTGTTAGTTGGCCCTAAGCTAAAATGTTGCTAATGTTAGCTAGCGACAATACGGCATTATATTTATGTACAAGTTCGCCAGTTAGCTAACCTAGCTAACTAGCCATTCAGATAAAGCAGCACTACAAACCAGACGATAACTAACATTACCTCCAGTTAGTCCACAGACTGCTACGTTCTTGAAAAAAAAAGACTATACATGTGATAGTACGTAACAAAAGCAACGCACAACTTTCATTCATTAGCCAACAGTAGTTAGCTAGTTAGCTAGCTAGCTCCAGTCTTAGGCTATAATGCAAACCATGCACTAACTAGCAACCGATTAGCGTGCTACATTAGCCTGACGAGGCCGGAATTGCCGTATTATTTCGCGGCTTCTTGTTCGAATTTTCCCGTTTCTCCTTAAGTGCAGAATGTAGAAGTCGCCAGAATGCAACTGCTGTACCATTTAAGGTTGAACTGGAAAATTCGAATAAGCAGCATACTTCAGCTTCGTGTTAGCATAAGCAATGCTTAGAACAATAATAATAATAAAAAAAACCTACAGGAGATTTAACCAATCATATCAGTTTGCACTCAGAATCTAAAACGGTAGTAGCAATATGCGAGAAATCAGTGATTCCTTATCGGAAGATTTTTAAAGAGAAACTTAAAAAAAAACCTCACATCTTCACAAGGCTCACACTCTCCACCGCTAAAGCGTCGGCGCCTCTGCCCTTGCGTTAATATCCAGATTACGTCACTTACTGTGCGACGGTATTGTTTTTTTCCACAGAGCCTCTTGTTTGTTTATGAATTGTGTGAACTGCGAGTGTCTTTCTCTGTGCTTTCTAATAGAGCAAGCAAGCGTCTTGTCTATTTCAGCGAGGTAAAAATGTTCATGTGCTTCACGGAACCGTACCGTTGCGATTTAGCTGCCTGCAATAGCGCCTTTGTATCTACAAACACTTCATCGTCGCGTTAGGTGAGTAAGTTAGCTAGTTAGCTGAAAAGCTAATACTGGATAGCGGTCTGCTGTTTCTGTCCGGCAAACGTTTTTGACTAGCGAACCCAGACTGTAGTGCCAGCTGACAAGCTAATATATTTATTTTTGAGAGTTTATTAACTCATTTTAAAATCAACAAATTTAAGAGCGTTTTTTTTCTGGGTTTAGTGTAACAATTTAAGTTATGCTGTTGGTGCAACAGCGTCTTGTAACTTAATTGAAATGTGGAAGTAATAAACTGCAGCATGGTTGTTGTTTGTTAGTTGTTATTTGCAGACCCCTTATACTTTAATTTCGGGTCATGCTGCCTGTGTAACCAAATGCAGGCCTAAATTTTTAGAATTACACGACGTTGAAATGTACACTCACTGGTCGCCTAATTAGGTCAACTTATCTCTTACCTTGTATCTAGAATCTGTTTTATAAGGTCCACTTACCATATAGGTGCACGTTGTTGTTCTTCAACTACAGATTATAATCTATCTGTTGCTCTGTATAATTTGTTAACCCCCATTTAACACATTCATCAATGGTCACCTCAGTGTCACTAGAGACTTCTATGTCAGTATTCTATCCCTGTGTACCTGCATCTCATTTATTTATCTACCTCAGGCTAATTGCACATACGGAAATGTGTACAACAGTACATTTCATAGTTTTATTACATAATTTATTACTGTACAACTGTACATTGGAATAATGCAATATTAGTGTATATTGTGTATATGTGTATATTCAGAGTCAGTGTATATATATTTCTTTTTCTTCTTAGATATTTATAATTTTTGTATGTAAATTTTACAAGGGGGCTACGCACCTAAGATTTTCACTCACTCTACACCTGTGTAAATGTGATGTGACAATAAACGTGATTTGATTTGATTAACAGCATCCTGTGACCAGAGACTGACCTCAGCTCTTGTTTCTAACCTTACTTCTACAAAGTGGGCCAACAAGGTAGCAATCTAAAAAAGTGGACAGTAAATATACAGTTCTTAAAAAACTCCACCACTCAAATAATACCTACCTAGTAATGGTTCTGTGTGAGTCTTGATAAACAGAGTAAAGGGGGGATGACAAATTATGTAGAGTAACAGATGGACATGTGATATGAGATCTGTAAATGTAGCTCTACAAAGATCTGGACCCGATTAAATAGACAATGATTGTAGATACAAGGCAGTTGTACATATGCATTGTCTAAGTTGCTACCTGGCCGTTGACTCTTGACTTTTTTTTTCAGTCTAATAAAATTTTAGAGAGCGACCATGGGCAGGCTGGACGATGCCGCCAAGCGCAAGGTGGTTGAACTGCGTGAGGCAGGCCTGAGTTTCCGCAAGATCAAAGCTGTCTTGGAACTGGAGAACATCAAAGTGTCAGCACAGGCCATCTACCTCTTCTTAAAGGAGTTTCATGGAAGAACTCGGCCAAAAGACTCCACACCTGGGAACAGTGGACCTGCACCAGCTTCAGGTTTGGCGCTGGCAAGGGAGGTGGGGCTCAGTGAAGTGAGGCAAAGTGGCTGGAGTGAGCAGCAACTGAGGAGTCTGCTGCGAGAGGCCTCACGCATCACAAGTTACCCATCCACCCCAGACTCTTCAGGGCAGAGTGGGGCACCTCAAGACTCCAGAGGACAGTCCTCGGGGGCAGGGACAGCTAGCAATGAGCACCAGGAGGGGGACGGAAAGGACGAAGACGTCCGTATCGTCAGTGTCACCTCACTGGCGCAGAACACCCAACATGGGAGCATTAATACCGTGCGATCAGGGATTAGCTCAGGAGCCATGACTAGTGCATTTTCAAGGAGAAGATACACACCCTCACCAGCCAACCCGGTGCTTGTGGCTCGGAAAAGACTCCTGGATAAGGCATTATTCCACAGGGCAAGGGTATGCATCATCTATTTGACAAAAGTTTCACTTTAGTTTTCTTCAATGTGGGTATGCGGTGTGTTGCATTTTAAATTTCTCTTTGCATTGTTCTGCTTTTTGTCCTGTTTAGGTAAGGGACAGTGGTCCTCAGCCTGGCCAACAGGCAGTATCGTTACTGAGAAGAGATCAATCTTGTTTCACCGGCTCTGAAGGGAGGAAAGTCATGTTACCTCAAACGGCCTCATATGATCTCACAACTGCCCGACCTCCTCATGTGGTAAGTATAAAAGCATTAAAAAATGTAAACTTAAAGAGCCTGCATGTGGGTTCACACACAACACCTACATAAGTAACATATTAGTTATTAAATAATGATGGTACTGAATAATAATAAGTAAATATGAATACAAGGGCTCAAAGTCTTAAAAGTACAATTCCGCAATAAGTGTGAGATTTAAACAAAATCATTTGTAGTAGTTTAATGTGATAAAGATTACTGACTTACAGTGTGGCGATAAGAACCAGGGTTTTCATGGCTACAGCAATTCACCCATTTTATTTACTATATAAAATGACCAGTTTTATATGTAATGTTGATAATGTTAAAATAGCAGTAAATAGCCTGCTTTACAAGCATTTCAAGAGTGTTCTTACATCATCCATTACATTTTGATTTTGAAATGTAAATATTCAATCTTATTATAAAGTGCAAGATATTGTCGGTAAAGCTTTAACAATAATAGGAATACTTCTTCCTTCAGTTGACTCTGTTTATACTCAATGCATCTTAAAGCAAGCAAAGAGTAATAATTACAGAATCCTATTTTCCTATAGATGCGCTATAGATCTTTAAATACTAAGACAACCTGTTTCAAGAATAGCTTTTTTTGCGGTAAGGTTACTTAAGTTGACTCTGAGTAGTGTATATCAGTGTAGTCCATCAATAATATTTTCAGCCTTTGTAAGAATGCACAGATTAAATTACTGATTAAATTAATTTCAAGATTCTTCTATACTAAATATTCTGTATTGTATTGTGTATTGTTTACTGTATTTGTGTTATTTATGTTTGTGTATTGTGCTACTACTTAGTTGAGTTACATCTTGACACACCAGATACAGTTACCTCTGACATGTTGGTGGCAAGAAAAGATTAATCAGTATCGCTGTCCAACATGAATACGTTAAAAAAATGTTTTTTAGGGCAAAAGCTTTGCAAAACTATTGTAAAACAGTTTCTCAAGCAGCGTATTCATAACCATTTCATGTAATAATATTCTATCATGTAGCTGTTAGAAGTATTAAACACTGCAAATGGCTGGTTCCTATTACCATGCTGTGAATGATTGAGCCTGTAAGTTTCTCTAGAGCAGCTGATTTCACATCAAACTACTTTGAATGCCTTTGTTTACATCTTAATAATTTACTTTTGCATTTTGTGGAATTCCTCTTTAAGTAATCTGTCCCGTGATAGCAAGAGGACACACACACACTCCTGCTAACTATTTTCTGCTCTGCTCTGATATAAACTGAAACAAACCTGTGTTTCTCAGAGAGGTCTCCATCCAGGAGCCAACATTTTTAGACGAGGAATTGTCCAAAGGGCAAACATGCCCTCCCGCTCGCCTCAGCAGCAACCTCGTATTGGCATTCGGCTACCCACCCCGGCCCAGTCAAGTGCCACGCCCCACAATGCAAGCTCCTCTATGCGTCCCCAGGCCCCACCCAGCCAGCCCTCCCCTCCCTCCCAGCAAAGTAGCCCAGATGCAGGAGTGCCAAGCGGACTACCTGAACAGGTCAAGTCTCTGGCCTCAGAGGTTCGCAGTCTCGGCCTGGCTCTGAGGATGATTGTAGAGCAGCAAGGCAGACTGGAGAGGGAGCAGAGCCAGCAGACGCAGGTCCAGAAACAGATTCTCAGTACCTTGCAGGAGCTTGCATCAAAACTGGGCCCCTGCAGCCTTCAGCACACACCAACTCCCACTGTTCCCACCTGCCCCTTCTCCTCAGCTTCCTTTAGCCAGCCCACATTCACCTCCAGCCAAGGCAGCTTTTCTTCATGTGGTCAAGCCCAGTCCAGGTACAGTGAAATTGATGGGTCTGGTCTTGAGAACATTGAGGCGTTTTCTCTGGATGGTCTTAGCTCTGCTACCATTAATGGCTTTCAGCCATGTAGCACGTCAGACACTCTTTCATTCACCCAGGCACATACACCAACATTCACACAGTCACAGACGCAAACTTACACACCAGATGTGCTCTCCTACACACAGTCGCACACAGACACCTTCACGGGAATTGACAAGTCAGCAGAAAGGGCATCAACAAGTACAGAGGCATCTTTTCAAACCAGCAGTTCTTCTTCTCAGTGCTCTACTCAACCCATATCTCCAAATGATGCCCAGCTGACTATCATCAAGGTGGAGAATGTTTAAGTTTCTTTTTTTCTTGGGTACGATGATGTGGTCTTCCTTACAATGGATTTTGCCTAAGAGTTAGTCTTCTTTGATACTGTACTGTAGCGTCAGCCATAGTGGACAACCAGTGGCTGTTGGTTTTCTTTAATGCTTGCATTTTTTACTGTAATGTCTTTAAATGGTATTACCAAACTTAAGTTCAGATGACAAACTGCAAATAAACGTTGACTGTTAGGCTGCTTTCACAAGACATTTTGGTATCCGTCAAAAACACATTCATATGCGTTGCTGTCTTATTGTGGATGTGTTTATAGGTCTTCTCCAGATTTGCAGATACATAGATCTAATGTACACACAACCAAGAAAGTCTACATGGCCACAGGGCTGTCTAATTCTGCCATTCATCTCAGCCGTAAGGGGTATAATGCTGACTATGGCCCAATCCCATTTCACCCCTTGCCCCTACCACTTAGCCCTTAGCCCTCTGTTTTGCGCGTTCACATCTAGGGTTAGGGTGTCCCAATTTTTGTTGAGACAGAGGGGTAGGGCGAAGGGTTAGGGCTACATGGCCCTCCAAACTGAGGTTTTTCAGAGGTACACTCCAAATAAAGTGTTACGAGGGAAAAAAGAAAAACCGGCAAGATGGCTGCGCGAGCGACCAAAGAAACCCACAAATGTAAGTATTTTCTCCATTAAAAAATTGCGATAACCATCGTATTATCTTAGTTTAATGTCGTTTCAATGTATTATGGTCGTTAACTAGCATAAGAATTGCTAATAGCATGCTAATGTCTCGGTAGCTAGCTAGCTAACTTTCCCGGTCCACCTTAAATAGTCTAGCAGTGCTGGCGCCTAAAACGCCTGAATGTAACTGCTGCACCGTTTAAGGTTGAACGGGAAAATACCAACAAGAAGCTGGTGAATAGCTGACTTAAGCTTCGTATCACCAAAGAATTAGCGGTGGGCGATAATAAATAATTGTCTTATACCCCCTCTTTGAAAGGACATGATGCCCTAAATGTAACTAAAGCCCAGCAGCGAGCTTGCTGAACATTTCCCTTCTCTGCTATCACTGAAGACGGGCCGGGTCGCCTACAGAGCACCGCTAGTAGCCTGTTAATGAAGTAATGTTCTTTTTTTTTTTGAGGGTTGTCCCATTACGTAGGGCAAGATTTCAACCACTACCACTTAAAAAAAAAAAAGAAATTGGATTGGGCCTATGTATTAACTTCCAAAGATGTAGCTTGGGATGCAGGCTTCTTCAGACTTTGCTCATGCAGTTACCCAGACTTTGTAGCGAAAGGCACGTGATGGTAAACTTAAGAATAGTTGCCAAAAATAAAGATGAAATATTTTAAACAGACAAATGATAAATGTCTTCCTAAGTAAGTAAAACAGAATTCATGTGCAAATGTGCAGGATATGGTGTCAAGATAAAACGTGGAATAGGGTCAAGCTGAAGTGCTCTTTCTATTGTGCTTTTTATGCAATTGTAGCTGTGCAGCCTCGCAGATCCTACATAACGACGTTGGGCTTTTCAGTGTATGTCACAGAATGCTGGTTCAAAGTCTGCAAGACCGGAGACCTTGGGCCGGAGGCTGGAGATTTTTATATTTATATACTTGAAAGCTTGTATGAGAAAACTGCTTGCAGTTGCTGTTCTTTTTCATGAAACGAAGAAAAAAAAATCCGTGTGCGACCAGTCGCTGTTTGTATGCATCTTTGTAGAGCTTTGAATGTGAGCTGTTAGTTTAAACAAAATTGATGAAAAACGTGACAGACTGAAGCTCCACCCACAGTAATTCATACTGGCTGATGCATGGGTACATCAGAGTATGCTCCATTGAAAGTTCAACTCTGGAGAACTTTTTTTTTGGTGAACAGTGGTGTATAATTGTCACACATTAACATATGGTGGCTTCTGCTGAATGTCAACACATCGTTTTCATTGAAATCAATGAAAGAGATGCGTTTTTTACGGATACAAAACTGTCCTTGTATACGGGGCTTTAATTTTGCCTTTACACACTTGTGTACAATAAATCCAAAGCAATGTATTCACTTTTCTAACAATGTAAAATTCTTCTGTGTAAAATTTAAATGTTAAGCTTTTGAAGATGTGGAGTCAACAAGCAGAAGTTATTCAGAGGAAAAAGGAAAGAAAGTATTTATGTCAGTGTCCCACTTACATAAACCAGTTCAGCAGGTCTTATGCTAGTCTCTTTGTCCATATTGTTCCACCTCTTGGAAGAAAAGGACTGTTAAGAGTGACACTAACAACTATAGCCTGAGCCAACGCATTATAACCCCACAAAATCCTTTCAGAATGTCATGTATGTTGTACTAACACAAGGGATATGAACATACAGTCTGTCGCATGTTGCTTCTATACTGTTCTTTGCACTGAGCACTCATACGGCCATGACAAAATAATAGAAACACCACATAATATATTCAGTACTGCCTTTTGAATTTAGAATGGCTTCAGTCTTTCTTGGAGTTATGATTCACACAGTGTGCCACACACAACAGTAATGGACAGTGAGGAGTTTGTTGCTGAGGCTCCTGCAGGTTAGCGTCTGCCCTGATTGAGTATTTTGTCTGTTCCTGTCCAGCAGCTTTGTACTGTAATCACTGTTATTTTGTAAAGTATTTACTGTCATCCTTTTTTTTTACACTGCCCATTTTAACATATTAAAATATTGCTGTCAGTGATTGATATGCCTGTGACTAGCCTGTGATGTTTCTTCTCAAAATTTGTGATATTTTAGAATTGTCAAAGGTGTTCTTTTTAAGCTCAGCACAATTGAGTTTCTATTACACTAGGAAAATGAAATAAAATAGGTTTGTTATATGTATATTTTTTCACATAGTTTTGGAGCATTTCTGTTGGTCCATTTATCAGGAAATTTTTGCACAGTGTAAAGAACAGCTTACATTTGCAAATTCTGTTAAAAATGCAACACTGGAGGTACACGGTTTTGTTCCAGCAGCAATAATTAATCCATTCCAGTACAACAAACTAGTATGAAAGTATGTAAATTTATTTTATGTAGCACATTTAAACCAAAATGCTTTACAATGAATGGACAAAATTTTTCCTGCCATTAGTTCTCCACTTTAACCATTTACACATAAAAACACAGTTACAGTCTGTTTTGGCTTCAGGTCTCACCAGCAGATGGCGTTGATGTATCAGTCTTGTTCATCTCACTAATGAATGCGAAGACATGCTGGTACTTGGCCATGCTGAGAACTACAGGCAGAGAATTTGTAGAGGAAAATTACCACTGTGTAGTGTCTTTCAGGTTTCTCAAAAGCTAGAGGGCGCTCCTGAGCAAGTCCAAAATGAATGGGTTAAGATCATTTGTGCAAAATCATAGTTTATAAATGCTCAAACATTTTTTATATAAAAGAATACATTAATTTCCTGAACACATAACGACATAAAATATTTTAACATTGCCATTATATTTAAAACACATTGGAACTTGGCACCCCACGTACATCCATGATGTCAGTGAATATATGATGTCATGAATAGCCAATGAGCTGCTCTGCTCACCAACCAATCAGTACTCAGTAGTAGTAATGCTAGCATCCTGCTGCCCAAAACCTGCTTGCTGTAGGAAAAAGGATAAATGTCGTTTTTCTGCATAAGTGATTAGAAATTATTTAAATTTTTCATTTTTAGCTGTTTAGCTCCATTTACCCCCATTAATTGAGAAATCGCTCATGGGTGCCCTCTGGCATTTTGCTGTCATGTTTTTGATATAACTGGGAGAAGTAGGAAGAGACCAGACTCCTCATAAACCAGCTGTGCTATGAAGTTGTTATATATTGGTTCATGTGGCGGCACAACAGTCTCTAAAATGTGATCTCAAATAACGTGGATGTTTGATTCATTGGGCCTGCACACTAGGGCATTCATGCATTTTTAATCTTTTGAACTTTATATTTGAAAAATATTTAAAATGTTAATGCCTGAAATGATCTAAAATGTACTTAATGACATGCCATCCATCATGGTTTTTGTCTGTTCTATCAAAGGCACATCAGATATCTCTCTGCAATTTTATTTAATACATCAAAGTCATTTTTATTTAAATTTGCTAAAAAAGTTTATACCACTTTTGAAGTGCACCTTTTTTTTTCTTTTCATTGAATTTTTTTTTCAAGATTCAGTATCTATTTGGAGTGTCATCAGACCCACTTTGTATGGACACATGCCCGGTAATTAATTTTTGCTGTTTTGTGACTTGAATATTTGAATTTTTAAACGAATTTTATGTGTCATTAACTATGAAGCACCAGGTCATATTTAGCATTGCTTAACATAAAAAGCATAAGATATAAAATAAGCTGTGGATTTTATTGCATAAAAGAGCAGATTGGTTTTTGTAGTCTACAATCACAACTGCTTTGATACTTCTAAACTCCGCTAGTGACTCTGTGGTATCAGATCAGAAAATCAGAATTAAGCAATGAGGCTTGTAATGTGAACATAGCCAAAGGCACAAACTGAAGGCCTTGCTGTAACAGCAGTCATTGGGCAGAAGGCAGGAAACACACTGGACAGGTCGCCAATCTATTGCAGAGCAAACAGACAGACATATACATCCACACACACAGTCACACCGAGGGGCAATTTAGCATGTCCAATTGGCCTGACCACATGTCTTTGGACTGTGGGAGGAATCCCATGCAGACATGGGGAGAACATGCAAACTCCACACAGAAGGGACCCTGGTTGCCCAGCCAGGGAATCAAGCCCAGGCCCTTCTTGCTGAAAATAAATAAAACATTAAAAAACTAAATTGGTGCAATATCCTTTTTATCCACTTAGTTGTAATATTTCAAAGTATAGTATCAAAAATAGTGAAGAATGGACAACCTTTGGCCATGTCTGGCTTTCTGAGAGCTCTTAGTGGACCAAGGGTTGGGGGCACATTGTGGGCAAAGCTGGGCCACTGCTCTGGACACCACATTGTTCATGATGGCCAGGACAGATTGTGACAACCAAGGGGTGCAGAGTGAGATCCAGGCAGCTAGGCTTCAAACTTTCTCTTGGGGAGATCAGTGGTAATGACCTGGGCCAAACCAGTCATTTTGGCCAGGAGAGAGTGTCTAGACTGGGCTAGCACAGCTTCTCATTGAGGTAATTCTGGCTGAAGCTAAGATCCAGAGGAGACTCGGTAGCTTCAGGAGTCAGTCTTGCTTGGGCCTGGCTTTGAGAAGTCCTGGGTTTGGAACCAGAGCCCAGTTTAGCCTTGACCTACAAACAGGGATTTACATGGTTCAGGAGCTTGGGGCAGCCTTGGCAGAAGTAGCTGTTCTTTAACATTTGTTTCTAAAGAAAAGTAAGATGAGAACAGCCTCTTTGCATGCATGATAGGTATTCAGCTGCAGTTGTTGTAAGCCAGAGATAATTAGTTCTGGTCTTGGATGATTAGCACAGTTTGATGATACCCTGCTTTAACAACCCAAGTTGAGAACAACAAATTATAATAAACTCTGGCAGTCCAGCACCTGAACTGATGGTCCGTATTTTAAGGTGTCTTGCCGATTCTCTTACATCTATAAAGATGCTCCTTGACTTTTTGAACCTATAGACGTTAAGCTTGTACATGAAGCACTTCACAACTGTAGTTTAAAAGATTTTTGACTCTGTCTATGGAATTCAGTCATGAAAAGCATAATGTCAATGACAGTGCAGGTCCCCCAGTACATTATTTCAGTCTAGTATAAATCATCAACCAAATCTTGAAGGTTTGTTCTTTGTTCCTACAATTGTTGCTATGTTCATTTGATAAAAAGTAACTTGTGGCAGGAGCATTGTTGAATGGCATGTGGCACTTGCCACTGGCACAAGAGGAAATGATGTTTAACATGCCTCTGCCACACTGACTATAGAGTGGATCCTGCCACTGACGTACTAGTAAGTCCACTGCTTTTGGCAGGGGATATTTTTCATTAGAAAGGCCAGCTATGAGCAGGCAAAATCGATTAATGAATTTAGGTAGTTTATAGACAGAAAAATCTGGTTTGGTTTGATCACAACAGAAGGGAAAGAGGGAGACTGAATTTGCAATTAGGTACGGTGTCGGGTACACCAAGAGAATGGTCTAGGCCTGAATACTTGACCCCTATTGTGAGGGGATCCAATGGCTTTGTTATGTTGTGGGAAACATTTTGCCTCTATGGTCTAGGTCCACTTGTTTGCTTAGAGGGAAGGGTCATTGCAAATCAAAAGTTATTCTGACTGCTTTTGTCCTGTGATGGAACATTTCTGTCCTGACAGAATTGGTCTTTTCCAGCATGGCTGTAATCTTCAGAAGCATGAGGGGTCGCAAAATACTGAATGATTTGATAAGTGTGAAAATGATATAAATATTATGCACTTCATAATTGCTAGATCTCAACCCCATTGAACACCAATGGGAGATTTTGGACTAAGATTTTGGACAGTGCAATCCACCACCATTATCAAAACACTAATTGTGGGAATATCTTCTGGAAGAAGGCTTTTCATTCCTCCAGTACAGTTCCAGAGACTTGTAGAATCTGTACCAAGGTGCATTTAAGCTGTTCTAGCAGCTACTAGTGATCCAACACCTCATCAAGACACTTTTTGTCTCTTTTAGAGATGTGGTCAATATAGTTCAGTCCGTCAGCCTGTCCTAAAGTCCACACTTGCCATTTGTGTTTTTGCTTAACACATTTATGTGATATGTTTCTGAATTTTTAAAAAGTGTAGAAAGTGAAAAGGCACTTTTTAACCACCAAAAATATCCAAAAAAAGAGATTTTGGGGTCAATGTTATGGGCAGCAGCTGCACATATCATTACATATTTAAAGAAGTGACTTTTAATAGTGACTTTGTGAGTAGCATTTGCTGAAGTAACTTGTTTCTTACTTTGTTTCTTATGATGTTTGGCTATGGTTGTGGAGAAGGTTAGGCTATGGTTGTGGAGAAGCAGGTGTCACATGCAGGATGGAGAGCTGGTCGGACTGAACCAGTGGGCTAAGTAGCTGATGATTTTCACCTGTGCCTTGTTTCTGCCAGCCTACTTTTAGCCATCTCCATCTCCACACCTGCACCCAGTGTCCTCACTCCTCCCACCTTTAATAGTTGTTACAAGGGTATTCACAGACTATAGCAGATTGTTGTTCATAATGATTACCCAATGATACATTTTGAACAAACTTTTTACATGTGTACTTATTTTAAGATGCACAACGAAATAGTCATATGAAGGATTTTATTGTTAATTTAAATAAAAGTAAATATATATTTTAGTGAAACTATCTGTAGTCTATTTTGTTAAATTTATTTTAAGGACAATACAAATTGCACAGCGGATAGCAGAAATGCTGGGCAAGATTAGGTGAAAAGCAGGCCTTATTGCTGTAATTAATAATGTAATAGTGTCATAAGGTCAATGGCTGGCCTACATATGAAGCTGCGCACTCTAATCTTTCGTTGTCTTTATGCAGGGCCAGAGCAGTTATCTCTATAAGCAAACTGCAACTGGTCTCACCCTACAAGAATTTGTGGTTTAATAAAGTACTTAATGAGGTCCTTCAAACAGTTCATAATAAATGTTAATGTAAGAAGCCAAAACTCCTTTAAACAACTGACTGACATTTTAATTAATACAAAGTAGCATGTTTCTGTTATAAATTTATTATAAATACATACATACCACTGGAATCAATAAATATATTTTAAAACAACATGATGCATTAGTATTTAACAGTAATAAAAGAATAGTGGAAAAGAGCATTGCAAATATAAAACCTTCAGCAGTTAGATCATTAGTACATCATTACATTCCTGAACAGCAAAACTAAGGTTGTGAAAGTAAACTGCAGAAACCCTAAAATATCAACTTAACCTAATCCAAGACTAATAAAAGACTTGTTTGCTGCTACTGCATTCTGATTAGATTTGTAATCCAGTCTACATTTTCTGCTCTCTTCCACCTACTGACTCATCTGAGCCAGGCAGTCAGCAGTCTGCAGCTCTTGGTTGCCAGGTTCAGCTGTGGGGTGGTTTATAATAGTAGGGGTCTCAAACTACTAGCCTGTGGTACATATATATATATATATGTGTGTTGTTGTAAGAAAACCTTGTATCTCCCAAGTGATAACTTTACAGGAAAAGGAAAAAACCTGCTTTACTCTTTACTTTTTTCCAAGTCATATTGGGCTATTTCTTTTTGTGCATTCTTCATGAAATTTACATTTATTTATGTCAAAAACTGAAAGAAGGAGATACAAGGTTATCTTCTGAGAGCAGCTATATATATATATATATATATATATATATATATATATATATATATATATATATATATATATATGAAATATCTCATGGGTAGATATGCTTTACCCACCGGACACTGTGACTAGTTAACCAACATAGGCCATTAAATGTCAACTTAGGACAAAAATTTAGTGCATGCAAGAGGAACCATTCAAACAAAAACATAATGCAGCATTAACACTGCACACTGAGTAAATGTGTAATTTAGCTAAAATTTTGGTGTTATTACTTAAACTGATAAATCTGTTAATCTGCCACTGTGGATTTCTTCATGATATAGTGGTAGGTACCACATGTCAGAATTAAGAAATGAATAGATTTAGCAAAATAATCCACTGAATACACAAAAATAGCTAATCTACTCTACTTTGCTTTGTAAAGGCTCTTGCATTCAGCAGAAACAGCAATGCTTTCAAAATAAAAGTCCCATATTATTATGTTGTTAAATGCAAGTGTATCTGGTTTATTTTAACACTAAATTATTTAGTAAACATTATGTATTTAAACTACTACTACTAATAATAATAATAAAAGAATAATAAAACTATTATTATTATTAATATTATTATTACTACTACTACTACTACAAATTAGTAGTATTAGTAGTTTGCGTTGATTAAGATGTACTTGTTTTAGCATATATGTTGTGTTGTTAAAATCCATGCTACTTCAACTTTTTTTCCTGACCTTCCTTTGAGACTACTACCTGGCTGCTGGCACCCAGGATATTAAATTCGAGACCCCTCATGTAAAATAAAAATGTGGACTGACTGGGGTCCCGAATTGAGGGATTCTGAGATGGGAAAGGTTGATTTCAAAGTGCACTCATTTTTGTCTCATAAACTGAAATGTTGTCAAGAAAATTCATCAAGAGCAACTACTGGCGTCTGACTGCACACAGTTTGTGTGGGGTAGGCGAGAGAGTGACTCCAAAAACTGGTGTAAGGTCCAGTTCCTCCTCAGACATGCCTGGTGGAGGAGTGAAGCGGAAGTGTTGCAGGAGGGAGGTGAAAAAGAGGAACAGCTCCATCCTGGCCAGACTCTCTCCCAGACACACCCGGCGCCCTGAAAACAGAAAGAAGGAGAGACTGAGAAGCTGAAACTTCAGTACTTCAGTAACTTGAGTAACCAAAGGACCATGACATTGAGCACAGATAGCACTTTCCAATGTACCTGCAGAAAATGGCATGAAGGCCTCTTTCTTGACAAATTGCCCCTGCTCATCAAGAAAGTGTGCTGGGTTGAAGGTGTTAGGGCTCTCCCACTCATTCTCATCCCTCAACACAGACGTCAGCAGAGGAAACACAGAGGTTCCCTAAAAGGAGCAGGGAAAGAGCTAAGGAAAGCAATGCCACATCTAAATTTCAAATAAAAGCTCTTTTCAAACAACTCTTTGTGCCATTCTTTACAACATAAACTTTTACACTACTATTCAAAAGTTTAGAATAAATGTCATTAATAGCATAAACCAAATTTTCAGCAGATAAAGGTATGAAAGGATGCGCTAATCCTATGCACTTTATCATGTTTCAGATTAATACTAGGAAGTTACTAAAAATGTTGTACATGTTCTCATTATATATTAGGGGTGCGGGAAAAAAGATGCATCGCGATGCAGACGTTGGACGATTCTGAATCGATTCATAAATTTCAAAAATAGATTTTCTAAATATTTAATTTATAACGTAATGCTGACGGAACGCAAAGGGCGGAACTTGGAACTGGGTAAGTGCGGCGCCCGGACGGTTTGTGGCGGCACATAACAAAAACACTACTGGATGAGTGAGAAATCCGACCGGCACCCTCTGCATTAAAGCCAGGTTAGGTCAGGAGTCGCAACACAAATGAGAGCTTTTTGTCCTTTCAACAAAAATCAAACCACCTTGGAAGCCAACGTTTAATATTCAGTATGTGATAATGTCGTAGTTTAGGCTAAAAAATATAAACGAAAACACGGAGTTACTCCGCTCTGCTTTAAGCTTTAGCTCAGCTTTAGCTGCTTTTCTTCCAACTCCACCAGAACAGTTTCTTGTAAAATGTCTCTCAGCTTTCGGCTGTTTTATGAGGCTGAAGTCGCTTTTCACTCGCCAGCTTCTTGCTGAACTTTCCCGTTCCACCTTAAATTCTGACTGAGGCGCCGAATGTAAATGCGGCACCATTTAAGGTGGAACGGGAAAATTAGAAAGAGAAACGACTTAATCTAAGCAACTATTTAGTTAGTGTTTGACAGTCTCTCGTTGCGGATTTATCTTGCCAGGAAACCAATTGCGCTGCTTACGAATGCGAATAAGTTCATTTATCTCCAAATGTTCGTCTGTCTTTCTCTTTTCCTTTTCGTTCGCTACTCGGTCGGCGAAACCTCGTTGCTACGTGACCTGCAGTCTTTCGCGCCGCCCCAACTCTATCACGAGACCAAAACCGAAGTTATAAAATCACTGAATTAAACGGGTAGGAAAGCTGTAACGCGCTCTGTGGTCATCCATTACCACTGGATCTTATGTCACCGTAACAGCGCATTTCATCGCAGATGAGTGGCAGCCGCGTCTCATGTGCTCCAAACAAGAGCAGTGAATGAGAGCCTACCAAGTCCTCAGACAGTAAGAAAATAGAAATCCTGTATAGAAAAAAAAGATGCATCGAGATGCATCGATAATCGTTTTATAATCGCATCGCAGCCATCTGAATCGTAATTGAATTGAATCGTGAGGTGCCAAGATTCCCACCCCTATTATAAATATCATATATTTTATATATATATATATATATATATATATATATATATATATATATATATATATATATATATGTATGTATATGATGTTTTAAAACGATATAAAGGATACCATATATTTTTAAATTCACAGCAAAAATGTGAATTGGAAAATACATGGTATCCAAAAAAAAAAGAAACAAGTGAATATATGTGGGTGTGTGTGTGTGTGTAGCATGCATTTCATACATGTATATATTGTATATATGTATTGTATTTATGCATACACACATGCACAAGAACCAAACTTGGGTACTCATTACTGTATTCTTCTAAGTAAGATATTTTTTAATGTTTTTTTTACAGTATTTATGTTGATTTGTAATTATTGTAGTCAGTCATGTGAAAAATACCTTCTTGATGATGAAGCCCTGGAACTGAATGTCACATGTGGTGGTGTGAGGGAGACTCATGGGCACTATGTTGGCCACTCTTTGGATTTCATGGATCACTGCATTAGTATAAGGCAAGTTCTTCCTGTCCTCTACTACTGGCTGACGATCACCAACCACCCTGTCGATCTCCTCCTGTACCCAGTCTGAGAAGACAGAAAACAAGTGAGGGAACCATGCTTCAAAATGTTTTAATTAAATGCCTTTGACAAAAACAGTAATATGTGTTTATATGTGGTTTATATCCTTACCCTGTATATGTGGGTACTTGGCCATTATCAGCATAGACCAGCGCAGTGTTGTGCTTGTTGTGTCAGTACCAGCTACAAACAGGTTGGATACTGTAGAGTACAAATTCTGCTCATGGAACAAAGAATGTTTTTGTCCTGATTCCTGAAAGAAAACAGTTAAAGCAGATTCATTTTTGATAGTAGAGAAACCACCAAACAGCACCGCATCATCCTGTCTCTCACCTCTGCTTTCTGCTTGGTTGTTAAAAAGCAATCCACAAAACATCTGGATTCTTCTGGGTTCAGTGTTTCCTTAAGACCCTTTATAAGCTCTGCCATCTCCTTAAAGTTGCATTCAATGTAATCCATGAGCTTCCTCCATGTCTTAAGCCAAGGACCAAGCCAGGGGAATACATTATAAAGCTGCAAATTGTATGAGCACAAACAGTTCACAAATAGTTACATTCATGTACATATTTCATTGATGATGATATGGTTGACTGCTTTATGGTTGACTGCTGAGGGAAAGCCACACTGTGGCTACTCTAGAAGTGACAGCTGCATTGCCTAACTGGTGACTAATGTCACTGGTTTTGCCCAAGCTGAGCAAGCTGTCTCTTGGCTAATCTAGATATGACAGCTGTATTGCTTAACTGGCTATATTACTGGTTTTGTCCAAGTTGAGAAAGTTGTCTCTGGTAGAAGTGTTAGGAAATCAGCGGCGGTACTACCTGTATTGCAGGAGATCCACCCATTTGGACACATTCATTTGCCCTGTCCACCATGGCCTTGAACTGTGGGTTTTCATAGTCAAATCTGTTGCCATAAACAATAGAGCAAATCACATTTGACACAGCACAGTTCACAGGCCTGCTGGTATCAAATGCCTCTCCTGGATGAAAACAAACAAATTCACAAACAAATAAATTACTAAGACAATGAAGTAAATTAAATAAGAAAGTACTACTACTGATAAGAATAATAAGTAGTAGTGATACCCACTGGCTCACCTCTGTGTGTCTCAAAAACCTCTTTCAAGTACTGGATCTCCTCTAAGATTTTCTTTTGGCTCCCACTTTTGCCCATCCCAAAGTTCTTAAGAGTTGTGAGAGCGAAACGTCTCATCACTTTCCAGTCATTTCCATTAGCAAACAGGATACCTGTTGGCAAGATGCTCAAGTTTTCACTATAAAACAAATACTCTACAGTCACATTTCAGCAATTATATGATTGGAGGCACTTATTTTTACCATGCCCTTTGTTGTAGTCATAAAATAACGGGATAATGTCTCTGTCTCCAAATTCCTCGCCATGATTCACCAGTGCCTCTTTTACGGCCTTGTATCCTGCTAAAATGATCACTTTCTTTGGACCAATGTATGTTGTGAAAACTGATCCATACTGCTTGGAAAGCTGCAAATGGAAGCAAAGAATAAATGTAACTTGCACAACTGAGAAGAAAAAAAAACAAAAACAATAAACAGCTGTTCTTTTTTCTTAATACACTTACCTCATAAAGAGACTCATGGGGCCTTTTGAGGTCCAGCTGGAGCAAGTTTCCCAAGAGAGGCAGTGGTTTGGGTCCTGGAGGCTCCTTAGCATTACTACCAGCTGAGAAAGAAAAGAAGAAATAAACCACCAGCAGAAACAGCAGGCCACATAGCACTGCAGTGGTGCCTGGGATGTTTAGGATAAGGGATTCTACCAAACCCATGACAAGTAAAGACAGTAGACTGGCACTGTCAACTGAAAGCTTCATACAAAAATACCTCATCAATATATAGCCCTCCAGTTTGTGAAATTTCAAAACGAAAGAATGTAATGGAAAGAAATGAACAAGCTGACTCACACAGGGAATTACACATGAAAAGACAAGTTTCCTGTAATGAAGGGTGTCATAAGGGCAGAAAAGGCCAGCGTGATGTAAATATTCATGGTCAGAAACAAACATACTTATTTACATGCTTTATAAAGGTTTTTTTTTATTTCACAGAAATAAAGGCCTTTTAATTTTATCTGAGCATTTGTGTTTTTGAGAAACTATTTGTTCCACAGTTACAAATAGCCACTCGTGACAGTAGCAACCTTACTATTTCATTGCTTACTGTCTCTGATCAGGTTGGATCAGGGCACCACTTTACAACAAGATTACCCTTATAAAAAGGTTTATGAATGGTTTAATTTAATAATGCCTTAACAATCATTTATAAGCAAGGGAAACACAAACATAAAGATAGTTTACAGTGACCTGTTGCTTGCCGAATAGTGAGCCCATACTAATCTATACAGGAAAACTTAAGATGTTACTGTTTTTTTTTGTTTTTTTTTATCTTACTTTGTTTTCTCAATCAGTCAGCAATATACCTATACGTGCCATCACATATTCATAATCAGGTTCCCTGGTTCCCTTTTTTAAGTGTTATAACTGCCTATTAATGCTTTCTAAGGTCTTTATGACATTATTAATGACCGTAATTGTAAACTATTCACAAGTCCTTCATTGGTTTAGTCTTATTATGAATTGGTACGGTGATAATAAACAATACTACCTGACAAGCCAGATACTGACTATGTAATACATAGGGGGTTACACATTGATCATTTGAAATAAATCAGCAAAGTAATTTGGTACTTGGTCTACATTTTGCTGTAAATAACCTCATGTACTACAGTTTAACTCACTTAGACAAAAATATAGTTTTTTGACAAATAAATGTCTCTTACAATGTCAACCCTCTGCAGTATTGCCTGCTTCAGTAATACTTTGTTTTGAGTGGTCAGTATTACAGAGTATCAGTAACACACCAGGGAAGTAGCAGTGAGGTAGCAGTAGAACAGCATCTGAATACATTGAGGTAAATATCTTGAAGATGTACTGTTTAAATATTACTTGCATTAAGTAGACATATTGTTGATGTGTGAAGCAGACTTTATATGGTAATTCCATTAGGCAAAAGCTAACAAGAGATAAGGTTGGGATTAGGTTTCAGGTTGAGGTTGAGATAAAAGATAGGGTTATCTTAGGTTGGGATTAGGGTTAGGTTAGGGTTAGGGTTAGGAATGGGTGTAGGTTTAGTGTTGAAGTTAGGGTTAGGGTTAGATTTAGGAGAAGGTGTAAGTTACGTGTTTAAATTAGGGTTAGGTTTAGGATTAGGTGTAGGTTTGGTGTTGAATTTAGGGTGAGGTTTAGGAGTAGGTGTAAGTTTAGTGTTAAATTAGGTTTATGTTTAGTAGGAGGAGGAGGTTTAGTGTTGAAGTTGGGTGAGGTTTAGGACTAGGTGTAGCTTTAGTGTTGAGTTTAGGGTTAAATTTGGGACTAGGTGTAGGTATAGTGTTTAAGGGTTAGGGTTAGGAAAATGGCTAAATGTAGGTCCAAAATTAGGGTTGGGATTAGGTTTTTGATTGATTTTGAGATGAGATTTGGGGTTAGTATTGGAATAAGGTTTAAATGTAGGACCAGAAGTAGGGTTAGGAATAAGACAAGGGTTAAACTCAGGACCAGAGTTAGGGTTAGGGTTAGACAATGGTTAAATGTAAGTCCAAAATGAGGGTTGGGATTAGGTTTTGGACTGAGTAACACAAGATTTGTGGTTTGTTTTGGGTTAAAGTTTAAATTTATGATCCAAGCTGCGGTTAGGATTAGCACATGGGTTCATCTTAAGGCCACAACTAGGGCTAGGGTTAGATAAAAGTTTAAATGTACGTCCAAAATGAGGGTTGAGATTAGGTTTTGTGTTCAGTGTAACATAGGATTTATGGTTAGCATTGGGACAAATTTTAAATTTAGGATCCAAGCTAGGGTTAGGAATAGGACAAAGGATCATCTTAAGGCCAGACCTAGTGTTAGGGTTTGGAAAATGATCAAATGTAGGTTCAAAATGAGGGCTGGGTTTACATTATGGATTGATTGTAATATAGGATTGGTGGTTAGTATTGGGACAAAGTTTAAATTCACAATCTGAGCTAAGGTTTGGAATAGGACGAGAGTTCATCTTAAGGCCTGAACTAGGATTACAGTTCGGAAAATGGATAAATGTAGGTCCAAAATGAGGGTTCGAATTACGTTTTGGTTTGATTGTAACATAGGATTTGTGGGTTTTTTGGAAAAAGTTTCAATTTAGGATCCAAGCTAAGGTTAGGAATAGCATAAGTGTTCATCTTAAAGCCAGAACTAGGGTCACAGTAGGAAGATGGTTAAATGTAGGTCAAAAATGTGGGTTGGCATTACGTTTTGGATTGTTTGTAACATAGGATTGGGGGATAGTATTGGACAATGTTTATATTCACAATCTGAGCTAAGGTTTGGATTAGGACAAGCGTTCATCTTAAGACCAGAAGTAGGATCAGTGTTAGGAAAATAGTTAAATATGGGTCCAAAATGAGGGTTGGGATTACATGTTGGAATGATTGTAACATAGGATTTGTGGTTAGTATTGGGACAATGTTTAAATTTACTAACCGATCTAGGGTTAGGAATAAGACAAGGGTTAATCTTTGAGTTTGGAAATGGTTAAATGTAGGCCTAAAATGAGGATTGGGTTTACATTTTGGATCAATTTTAAGGGGAGATTTGTGGTCAGTATTGAGATAAAGTTTAAATTTAAGAACCAAGCTAGAGGTAGTAGTAGCACAAGGGTTCATTATAAGTCCAGTCCTTGGTTTAGGGTTAGGAAATGGTTAAATGTAGGTCTAAAATGAGGACTGGGATAACATTTTTGATTGATTGTAACATAGGATTTGTGATTTGTTATTGGAAAAAGTTTAAATTTAGAATCCAAGCTAGGGTTAGGAATAGAACAAGGGTTCATTTTAATGCCACAACTAGGGTTAGGGTTAGGTAAATGGTCAAATGTAGGTCAAAAATGAGGGATGAGATTACACTTTCGATTTATTCTGACGTAGGATTTGTGGTTTGTTTTGGGAAAAAGTTTAAATTTATGATCCAAGCTAGTTTTAGGAATAGCACAAGGGTTCATCTCAAGGCCACACTAGAGTTAGGGTTTGGAAAATGGTTAAATGTAGGTCCAAAATTCGGGATGGAGTTAGTTTTAGGACTAAATTTAAGAAGAGATTTGAGGTTAGTATTTAAAACAAGGCTTATATTTAAGATTAAAGGTAAGGTTAGGTATAGGATAAGGTTTAAAATCAAGGACAGAGATTAGTATTAGGAAATTGGTAGGTTAGGAAATTGGTTAAATATACATCCAATATAAGGGTTCGATTTCAGTTTTGGACTGATTTTAAGCAATGATTTGTTGTTAGTATTGGAACAAAGCTTAACCTTTGTTCAATACCCTGACATACCTCTGACTGTAAATTTAAACTTTGTCCCAATACTAACCAAAAATCCTTTGTTACAATCAATCCAAAATCTAATCCCAACCATCATTTTGGACCTATATTTAACCATTTTCCTAATCCTAACCCTAGATCTGTCTTAAAATGAACCCTTGTCCTGGTCTTTACTCTAGCTTGGATCCTAAATTTAAACCTCATCACAAAACAAGCCACAAATCCTATGGTAAAATCAATCAAAAACCTAATCCCAAACCTCATTTTGGACTTACATTTGACCATTTTCCTAACCCTAACCCTAGGTCTGGCTTTAAGATTAAACCTTGTCCTTTTCCTAACCCCAGCTCTGATCGTAATTTAAACTTTGTCCCAGTACTAACCTCAAATCCTAAATTACAATCAATCCAAAACCTAATTTCAACCCTCATTTTAGACTTACATTTAACCATTTTCCTAACGCTAAACCAAGTTGTGGCCTTGTTCTAAACCTAACATCGGATTGTAAAGCTTTTTAAATCCTGTTTTACAATCAATCCAAAACATAATCCCACAATTTTGGACGTACATTTAACAATTGTCCTAACCCTAACCCTAGTTCTAGCCTTAAAATGAACCCTTGTGCTATTCCTAACCTGAGCTTGGACCCTAAATTTAAACTGTATCCCAAAACAAACCACACTTCCTGTGTTGGGTCAATCCAAAAGCTAATCCGAACCCTCATTTTGAACATACATTTAACCATTTTCCTAACCCTAACCCACTTGTCCTATTCCTAACCCTAGCTATGAATATAAATTTAAACTTTATCCCAATACTAACTACAAATGCTATGTTACAATCAATCCAAAATGTAATCCCAACCCTTACTTTTGACCTACATTTAACCATTTTCCTAACCCTAACCCTAGGTCTGGTCTTAAGATGAACACTTGTGCTATTCCTAAGCCTAGATTGGATCATAAATTTAAAATATATCCCAAAACAAACTTCAAATCCTGTGTTACAATCAATCCAAAATGTAATCCCAACCCTCATTTTGGACCTACATTTAAACATTTTCCTAACCCTAACCCTAGTTCTGGCCTGGAGATGAACACTTGTGCTATTCCTAACCCTAGCTTGGATCTAAATTTAAACATTATCCCAAAACAAAACACAAATCCTAGGTTACAATCAACCCAAAATGTAATCCCAACCCACATTTTGCACACACATTTAATCATTTTCCTAAAATAACCCTTGTTCTGGCCTTAAAATGAACACTTGTCCTATTCTGAACCCTAGCTCGGATCATAAATTTAAACTTTGGCCAAATACTAAACACAAATCCTATGTCACAATCAATCCAAAACCTAATCCCAACCGTTATTTTGGACCTACATTTAACCATTCTCCTAACCCTAACCCTAGTTGTGAACTTAAGATGAACCCTT